AAAATGATTTTAATCTCTGGATGTCCAGCCCCTGAGCTGCTGGCTTCCAGTAACAGTAGCAGTCTCTATACCATCCAGGACATCTACCACATCTATCTGCGCAGAGCACGTGGCATCATTAAGGACCACACCCACCCAGCGCAAGGACTCTTCTGTCTTCTACCTTCAGGCAGGCGATACAGGAGTCTGTCATTGTGTACAGACTAAAGGACAGCTATTTTCTGCAAACTGTCAGTTTACTGAACTCTTAATAAAAAAAACACTGAACATCGAGCAATAACTGTGCACCAAGCTACCTCTGTGACAACTAATATGACTAATATTAGCTTGTGACAGCTAATATGTTTATGGTTCATTGCTGCTGCACTATGTGGTTGTATCATGTATGATACAGTATCTATGTATCTACATTGCCTTCACAATTCAACCTCAATGTCACTACATGTGCAATAACCTGTCACACTACCTGTGTAGTATATGTTAATTATGATACATATATATATATATACCTTGAAATACTAATTCATTCAAATTCATCCTGCTTGCATCGTTAAATTCACAATGTTGTTGTTTACTCTATCTCCTTAGGACATTGTAAATATAATTACTTTTTCACTTTTTGATACTTTACTGCTGTAACCTCATTGCATGTTTTAGTATTTCTTGTTTGTTTGTTCTTTGATGGTTTATTTTTAGCGAGTCAAATCGGTTCTTCTCATCCTAAGCATTTCATTGTACTGTTAACCTTGTGGTATCCTTGCATATGACAAATAAAACACAACTTGAACTTGAACTTGAACTAACTGTGGCCCCCTGAGCAGTTTTCTTGAATAGCCCTGCCCTGAAGTGTTCTGTCATCTGTTTATCAGTAAACACTCCAGAATCATGTTGGATCATTTGCTCTCCGTATCGAATGCTGGTTTAGCTGAAGTATCCAGGCACCAATGCCAAGGGACACATTTTGTGTCTCTGAGATGCCAAAGAGGTCCTGCCAAAATGACAGCCCAGTGAACCAAACAGAATCTGGCCAAGTGTCACATGCAGTTTGATGTGTTTCTTGTACTTACTGGATGCTATTTTTTTACTATTTTTTTAATAACTTGTTTAAATTTAGAACACATCTAAAGTTAAAATTATTGGTAAATTCTGCCACTAGTGTGACAACATGTTTTGATTTTTTTTTTTTTTTTTATCCATGAGAAGATCACTAATCACTATCATTAATCAATATTAATGTTCTGATGTATTCACTGGTCGTTAGTTAGTAATTAGATATGCCCAGACATGAGGAAAAATAAGTAACTAAATAAGAACTGATATGCACTACATTCTTCAGCTTGTCGTGGCTCTTCCTGCCTCCTGCTTGTGTTGGCCAGGTGGCATTACAGACAATATTTTTTTAGTTTGCTTGTTTCTCAATGAAACCATCTGCTCTGCACCGCTCGAATACCTCATTGTCATATTCAGTACAACAAACTGATTATTCGTTGGCTTTAGAGTTTTCTCAATAGGAAATGGTTGATTGTAACACCTTTTAATATGTCTAATGATGTCATGTTTTCCAAGACAAAATGCTGCAACAAGCAGAAAAAAAATATATATACTAATTAAATGTGGCTAAAGCAAAAATGTGTACTCCTGACAAGAGAACCTATAAAACATCAAATCAGGGGAGACAAAGCATCATCTACTTTGTACAAACCAGTGGTCTTTCAACATGACAAGCTTTAGTTAGAAAATAAATGAAAAAAATACTAAAAGTATTGTTTGTAAGCTTTACCATTACAGAACCATATAATGAGTGGTACTTTGGAATAAAACAACCTAATTTATTACCCAGCGTTAGGTTGAATTTAAACTAAGTCAACCTCAGGTAGATTTACATCACAATAGTTGGGTAATCAGTCTGATCATGTCCTAAGCTTTATACACAGAAACTGAGTTAAAATTACTAAATTGTTGAAAAGGAGGTACCAAAAAAAATGTGTTTAAAGGAAAAGGCACAATTTTCTTTCATTGTTTTAATTCAAGTTTGGTTGGTGTTAACTAACTTGCTAAGTAATATTAGCACCATACCATACCATTTTATTTATAGAGCACTTAAAACAGCGACAATGCCAACCAAAGTGCTGTACAGACAGAACAACAGGTAACACACAAAGCAATATACAAAATGAAGTAAATCAGAAATATAGACATAAAAATGATGCAGATAATGACGACTAACCAGTGTGGAGCATACAGGTTCAAAACACAGATCATCTGGTGTTGAAAGCTACTGAATAGTAGTGGTTTTTTAAACGGGACTTGAAAACCGAGAGGGAGGGGGCCAGTCTGACAAGCAGAGGTAACTCGTTCCAGAGTCTTGGTCCTGCTACAGAGAAGGCCCTGTCACCTCTGCGCTTAAGACGAGTTCCTGGAACTGTGAGGAGCAACTGGTCCGCTGACCTCAGGGAGCGTGTTGGGGCATACGGTTGTAGCAGATCAGAGAGATGGGGGGTGGGGGGACAGTTCAGCCATTTGTGGACATACAGAAGTATTTTGAACTGGATTCGAAGGTGAAGTGGTAGCCAGTGCAGTGAGGCCAAAACTGGTGTAATGTGCTCTATTTTGCCTGTACTGGTTAAAAATCGGGCTGCTGCATTCTGGACCAGTTGTAGTCATGCTATAGAGGTCTGACTGATACCAAACAGGAGTGAATTGCAGTAATCAAGCCTAGATGTAATGAATGCATCTATTAATGTCTCCAGGTTCTTTTTGGACAATATGGGCTTCCGTTTAGACAGCCGCCTCAGTTGGAAGAAACATGATTTGACAATCATGTTTACGTGACAAGTTTCAGGGCACAAGCTAACGAGCACCATCTAATGCTTTTTTTTGGAACCCATGCTCACGGTCTAGTGACAATTGAAGTAGTTAACAACTATTTAAATTGTTTTCCTAAAAGTTAGTTGTACCATTTCAACTTTACCATCTCAAGTTCATTATGGCCAACATCTGCTTAAAAATGGTAAAACTGTGAAGAGTTGACATGGCTCATAACTGACCCAATTACTGGGTCATACATTATGATTTCATATTTAGTCAAACCCACCTAACCTATGACCACACAACTTTAACCCAGCATTTGGGTTTTCAAAAGAACCCAGCAGTTTTACCGGTGCATATTAAACATATCAGACAATTCATGGATCCTTACAATAACTTGAGCAGTTATTATTGTGATTTTCTAAAATACAAAAAAATGTACGTTTTCAGTCACGCATCACTTACTGTTCATTATCAATGTAAATAAATCCAATCATCATGAGGCTTGTGTTTAATGTTCACTATGTTTCAGGAGTGAAAACTCATCTGGTGTTGGCTTTATTATCTTGAATTTAAATATGTGTCAAATAAAACAACTTCCCTATCTTTTGCTGATCCACTGCATCAACCAAGTTTGACAGTTTAATTGACCCCCTGGAATTATTTTCTGCACGAACGCCCCATCATGTGACCAGATGCTTCACCTGTGTTGGTGCATGAACTTGAGAGGTGGACATAATCAAACAGGATGCTTATAATATATAACCTTTATGGGCCACAATGAGCCCAAATTAAATATTCAAGTGGTCCAATGTGGGTGATCAGCAGCATACCAGGGACATAACACAGACCAGGGTTAATAGAGGTCAGGTGGCACTCATTTGGAGGATATCAAGCATCTGATCTTAATGATAAATAGCTGTGGCCTTGCAGACAATGTTGCTTATATATATTAAAAACTATCACTTTCATCTTGCTAGTAAGCGCGTCGTGCTGAGCAGGAGTGTT